AAGAATTGTTTCATTTTGCTGACTGAACCTTGTTGAAAGAGAGAGGGTCAGACTTTGAGGTACTGCTGATGAATTTTATATAGGGGCTCATTTTTTGCTGCTGCTACTGGGCCTAGAGAGGCTCAGGTGGTAAATTCTGCAAAAAGTTTGTTTTGTTTGCAGACTGGCCCCCCTCTGGATGCTGGTAAAATACTTAATTTAACACTGATACCCTACCATTGTCTTTCTGTTTTTGTGTAATGTGATTTGAATGTAGAATTCACAAAAATTGCACTGTTTTGAATTTAACTAGAACTAGAATATTCATTCAATGATTAAATGGTTGCCTATCTTTGTAATATAATGTTTATGGATACATTTTAGTTTGTTTTAATAGCTATTTAATTTGTTTTAGATAACATGTTATTTATTTGCAAGTTGAATTTCACTTTTGCTGTAATTTAATTTAAAGAACTAACTGTAAAAAAGTTAAGAGAGATTTTAACAGTTAGAGAAGTCATTACTTTCTTAAAGTCTTGTTACTGATATTGTTACCAAGCAGAATAGGATTTGTTGTCACAGCCTTTGGTGAAAAGTTTTGTGCTATGGTGGGCTGTTGTGTTCTATTTTGAAACCATTTGACATGTTGCATCTTTGGAAATTTTATGTGGTTAATCATATGAGCTACATGGGCCTATTGTCATACACTGCACTCTTGTTTTGGAGATGCATCTCCTTTTCTGTTTTATTGATACCAAGCCAATAACGAACAAGGTTTATTGAGAATGCAACACAGAAGTCAAAATCTTGAGATATATTTATTTGAACAAGGTGGTACTAGGAACTGGAAATGCTGTCCAATAAAGTATGTTTTACATTAAGTTAGTACACACAGTAAAGGCAGATAGAATCTGTTTTTAATGCATGTTAAAATGCAGTATTTGGTATGATGTAATCTAGTATGGCAGGAGTTGGAGTAGTGGAGTAGTCTTTCAACAAGAAAAAAGATGAGAAATGCATTTGTTTGCTTATTTTAGCAAGCCTATTACCAGACTAAGTTTTGATGGAATTATGGTTTGGATAAAAAGCTAATTTTGGTTAACATTCCTGTGGAAGGAAATATTATGAAGGCAAAAAATTATATTCATTTTCTTTGACAAAAGAAAGTGCATCTGAAAGCTAAGTAAAGGGAAGTTTAGTATAAAGTGTCAGGTCTCAGAAGATTCAAATTTAAATTTGATGGATCTACTAAATAGACAGTCATCCCAAAGTAATTTTTCTTCCATGTATTTCCAAATGATGAACAACAAATCTGAAACAGATATACAGACTTTGACTTTGATGCAGAAATATTTTACTCTAAAGCAGTGCAATTATCATATGCCAAAAGATATGATGCGTTTAAGAGAGTTAGCATCCAGAAAGAAGTTGACTAGCCTTAGCAGTCTACTTTTGTTGCTAGAAAAGGTTTTTGCCCATTTCTTTGTCCAAGTTTCTATGGCTTGTATACTCTGAAAGTGCCTGCATTTTTAGTAATTTCATTGGTCAACTTTCGTTAATAATTCTCTTCTATGATGAGTCTTGTGCCCTTAAATTTTTATCAATCATTTGGATGTCCACAAAACTACACTTCTTTCTATAAAATTCCACATGTTAAACCATTAGAAAACCAAGCACAATTTGCCACACACATTTTGTCTTGATCTTTGTGTTATTTTTCCCTGCATTACCCAATTTTCAATTACTAGTGTTGCTATGCTTATTAAGTAATTCTTTAATGTTGCATCATTGTTGTTTTTTGGGCAATAATATGAGGGGGCAAGCCTATTTTTTTGATAAGATGACATCACATTTGTCCATTCTTTTTAGAATAAAAGACCTCTGTCTTCCCAAAATGTTGGGGAACAACTACCTCCCTTCATCCCCCCTGGGTGTCTGCCACTTCTTATTGTTTGTTTCTATTTCTCCTCTTAAAATTTCAATAATTTTAATCATTGCATCCATAAAAGACAGAAAACAATTTCTTGGGCGTTTCCGGGAAATGGGCGTGGTCGGTCGGTCATAATGGATTTTGAGAATGTCAAATTTTTGTCTGGATCCGCCCCTGTTTTGTAGACATAATTTTGTTAAGGGCGTGTTTTGTTGTTACTACTGTGATAAAATTTTGACCCTACTTCAATCTCTTATCTAAATTGCTATCTTAATAGCTATGTGATTTAGAAAGTGGAGACTATTTTTCTTTAATAGAAAATACAGGCCTTACAAATGCTTGGTTTTCGAAAACAAATGTTTATAGCCAACACCAGAAAAACTAGAGGCATCTTTTTTGACTTTGGAAAAAAGCCTGAGTCTGAAGGCCTAACATACTTAGTGACCCTCTCTCGTAAAAGTGATGTTCAGGCATGATAGGCCCTTTCATCCAGCATAACACGCCCTTTCGTCGGGCACCTAAACAAAAGTAAGTAAATAAAGCAAGTAAACAAAGAATAACTATATTTGTCGCAACAAACAACTAATTTTCGCGGCTCGGCGTCTCTGCCCTCAGGTGCTGTAGGTGAAAGGTTCCAAGATCATCGCATTAGTCAATATTGAAACTTTATAACGGTTTTATAACTTCCAAAAAGCAACTCAAATACGAAGTAGAACTACCCATGGGTGTAGCGGATGCTATGAAACTACCTAAAAAACATCAAAAGAGTACCGGCAATCGTACACAGCGACAGGATACCTATGTTTTTGCCAAAATTGTAAAAAATTACCAACGAATCACCCAGTCAAGCCATTTTTATTTGGTTTTAGCCCCTCTCCACTTTTTTCAGACCCCCGAACTTTCTCAACGCTCCGCGGTGCGGTGCATGTGTTCAGGCTATCAAATTCTTTTTTTTAAAGTCCAAATTTTAAATTTTGTGAAAAAGGCGCAACATTTGCCCGCTACGTCTAGAAATGCTAGTTTTATCACTGTAGTATTCCTGTTCATCACTGTTCAAAACCGCCTCATCACTGCCCAAATTGGTTATCATTGCATCTTAAAATTATGTACGGATTAATAAAAAAATTAAACTCTTTACGGCCATAGAAAAGACAAGAAAGAAAATCAATAAATAAAACAGGCAAAACTTTTAACCAAAAAAACTCTTTAACTTTATTCAAACGATTCGGAAAATTTGTAGCTGTGTAAAACAGTCTGTTTTATTTTTAATCATTGAATCAGTTTCCAATGTGAATCAGTTTTGAATTAGCGCAACCAGTTTGCATGGCAGTTATAGGCCAACGTAGAAGCTCGCCAACCAGCTTCAAAACAGGTTTTGAAAAGCGATTTGAACAACTCACGAGAGCAGCACAGATCTCGCTATGAATTACGCATGGGCACTGTAGAGCCTGTCAATAGTTGCACGTGAAATCTGGAGAGTTTACTGAATCTCTCACATGCATCGATGGATTTACAAGTATGGACATATGATTATACATGAACTGACCACGTGATTTCCACCAGGTCCTCCAATCATATCTTGACATGTCAAATATAAAGCTTTTTGATTGGCTGTATTGCTCGGACCACGTTGACAGGTGGTATGATAACTGCTCGTGATTACTATACGAGTTTGTAGTTGGTAATGGTGGCTGAGTCGTGGCTGTAGATCACTACCTGGGTTAAAAAAAGTGCGAAGTAAGTGACTGATTTTGTTTGAAAAAATAATTTTCTTTTAAATTTTAACTTTGATTACTAGCAAGCTTTGTAAGAAAAATTTATATAGATTTTTATCTAATTGCTAGATGGGCAGACACACCATAGAAATTGATTTGAATGAAAGCGCGAAAGGAGAAAAGGTGGAGAAGGATCCATTCGGAATCGCAGACGATGTTGAATTAGATGAAGTAAAATGGTCAGGTAAGGAATTTTCTTCAAATGTAATTCCCTGTAAAGTTTAGAACTTCAGATGTTCCTGGGCTTCTAGTGATCGCAAGAGTTACGACTGCCCATTCAATTGTCCTGTTAAAGAAGAAGCGTCTGAAAGTGTCCCAAGGTGGCCAAATTGTAATTTATTTCGCTTTTTTGGGTTTATCATGACACAGAATAAGGATCTGCATGGTTATTAATGATTTCTATACAGCTTTTCAATGAGTGATAAAAATATTTTGGCGCCTAAATCAGATTTTTATGTTTACCTACCTCCGAGACTCTCGTAGAACTATTATTTGTCAAATTTTCTGCAAAAGTTTTCAAGTTAAAAATGACCATAAAATTTTCAAAGTTATTTATGTGTTATGTTGTATGTAGATCTGCCAACCCGAACAAAAGTCGGCCGAACTGTGAAGACGACAACCAAACTTTTGGTTCTTCTTGCGCTCTTGTACCTGTTCATCTGCTCCTTGAGTTTCCTGAGCTCAGCCTTTCGTCTTCTTGGGGGAAAGGCAGCTGGCGAGGCATTTTCTTCAAACAAGGTTCTCAAAAATCCAGTGGCTGGACTAATGATTGGAGTTTTGGCAACGGTTCTTGTCCAAAGTTCGTCGACATCAACGTCCATCGTTGTTGCGATGGTAGCTTCGAAAAGTAAGTTATTTTATCTAGTTTAAATGAAATAGAAGTCCCTACATTTACTCAAACTCAAACTCATTTAGGTTGTTATCAGTTGATAGACTGAAATCCGCTCAAAATTTCCAGACTTTAGGTTACTTGGGGTTACGAAACTACCTCTGGCTGCAATTTCGCCAACTGAGGAAATTGCCAGTTAAAATTGTTTAGGTGTGTTGGAGGTGTGTCATCTCTTGACCGTGGCGATTGTTGTGTTTCCTCTGCGTGTTTCCTATTTTTTACGTGTTTCCTTTTTGGTTTTTCCTTTTAAATGTTTCCTTGGATCGTGTAAATTTTTCTCGTGTAAGGTTTTTTCATTATCTAATTTTGAGGTCTGGAAAAGATAAAGATTTTCCCGATTTTTTTCAAATTGGGCAATTAAAGTATTGGTTTCTGTAAAGTTGTTCTGAAAAATTTAGGTTCTTTGATAAAACTCAAAGTTGCTCTATTTTGTGAAGGGGCCTGTTTGAAAATCTTCCTATTTCAATGATAAACAAAGATCACATGATTTATTTTCAAAATGTGGGGAAGTTTAATTCTTTTTTATCAAAATTATTTTGTTGAGAACTCATGCGCTTGCACGCAGGATCCCTTCACTCTGCTGTAAAGTTTATTACAGATATCATGTCATATTGGTGCTCTCCATATCAACAGTGCAGTAGCCCCCCTCCCCCCCACAGGAGAGTAAAACTGTTATGTCCCAAGGGAACTAATCCTGTTTGCATACATTGATAACTTTCATTTTTGGTAATATTTTGCCCTTTTTTACAGTACTCACTGTTCAAACAGCCATACCAATCATTATGGGAGCAAATATTGGCACATCTGTAACTAACACATTTGTATCACTGGCCCAAGTTTCAGACAGAGATCAGTTCAGACGTGCTTTTGCTGGAGCAACAGTGCATGATATGTTCAACATCCTCTCTGTCCTGGTCTTTCTGCCAATTGAAGTTGCCTGTGGGTACCTGTATCATCTAACGAACATTCTTATCAAGAAAATGAATCTCCACCAAAGTACATCTTCAACAAAAAAGGAATTTCTCTCAAAGCTTACCAAACCCTTCACAAATCTCATTATTCAACTGGATAAAGGTGTGATTACAAAAATTGCCCAAGGTGACAAAGATGCAGCATCTAAAAGTCTTATAAAATACTGGTGTGACAAAGGAAAGAAACAAGTGATCGAAATCCAAGCCCAGAATGCCACGAATGCTACATTAAACAACACATTCATCAACAAAACCATAACTGTACATTCCAAACCATGTGCATTTCTTCTTCATGATACTGGGCTTAGTGATGGAGTGATTGGGTTGATCATGCTGCTTGCATCTCTTATTATTCTCTGCTTTTGCTTAGTTGGTATTGTAAAACTACTTCACTCAATGCTTCAAGGCAGAATAGCTACTGTGATCAAGAAAACTGTGAACAATGACTTGCCAAAACCTTTTGGTTTTTTAACTGGATATCTGGCAATTGTTATTGGTGCTATAATGACAATATTGGTTCAGTCAAGTTCAATTTTCACTTCAACCCTAACGCCGCTGGTCGGTTTGGGTCTTGTTAGCCTAGGAAGAATTTTCCCATTAACATTAGGATCAAATGTAGGTACAACTGGAACAAGTCTTCTTGCAGCAATGGCCAGCTCTGGTGACAGTCTCCAGTATTCAATTCAAATAGCACTCTGTCATCTTTTCTTTAACATCTCTGGAATTTTGGTATGGTACCCAATTCCTGCAATGCGGAAGGTTCCTCTGAGCATGGCCAAGTTCCTTGGTAATACAACTGCAGCCTACAGATGGTTTGCCCCAGTGTACATAGCTTTCTTCTTCTTTGTAATTCCAGGAACAGTTTTTGCACTATCAGTTGCTGGTCCAGAATGGTTGCTTGGCATTGGTGGCTCCACAGCCATATTGCTCATTTTCATTTCTGTAGTGAACATTCTTCAAAGTAAAACACCAAGATACCTTCCAAAGGTGCTGAGGAATTGGGAATGGGCGCCTATGTGGATGCGCTCATTGGAGCCATATGATAAGTTTCTTGTGAAAATTGCTAGTTTCACAAAGAGATTACGGACTGGAAAAAGCAATAAAAGTGAAATTATGATTCACTTACAAACAGGTAATTATGGTAATATTGATAAAAATTTACCTGAATTTTCAATAGTCTCTACAGTCTAGCTTGGAATTATTAGGGAATAGACCAATTGATAATGCATTCATGTTGCTGTGAATACAAACCATGTATATAAATATGTGTATATATACAAAAGTGTATATGGCAAGGCATGTGCATGTGGCATCTTCTGGTACCTGCTACAGAAATGTGGCATCTGCCATGATTCATGTAAAAACTAATTTAGAAAGGTTTGGTTGCAAACCTGTAAGCTGATGCCAAATTTTCCATACAATGAAATTGAAATGCTAAAGCGATGCTTCTATAAAAGGTCAGTGAATACATCCAGGATAACAAATACATCCAGTTTTGACTCCCAACATTTTTACATGAAATTTTGATATTTCTGATCATGTTATCTTCAATAAAGTACTTAATGCGGAATGTTACAGGTAGGATTGATGTATTCAAATTGGCCTTATTTTGTTAAGGTAGTTTTTATTTAAGATCTTTGTGTCATTTAAATTGGTTTTTGGCAAAGAATGCTGGAAACCTGATACAAGGATCCCCAATATAATTACCTTCCCAGTGTAACAAATTCATCTGGTTAAACTAGCTTTCAGTTCAACAAACTCAGGATTTCATTCGTGTATCTTGATGACACTTGCTAGTTTTTCTCTTTTTCCAT